TATCTTCATTGCTATGGCTGACACCCTGAGTCAGGCCTTCATCATTTTACCGCCAATATTAATCGAGGAGTCATTCTTTGTTGTGGGGGGAGTCCTGTGCATTGTGGGATATTTAGTAGCATCTCTGCCCTTTACCCACTAGAGGTCAGTAGCATGCTCTCGCTGGAGTTGTGACAACCTAAAGAAGTTCTCCAGATATTGTCAAACGTCCCCTGGAAGGCAAAAATCACGTCCTGTTGAAAACCAGTACTTTAGACTGACAACCAAAAAACCTCTATTAAATGTTAATTCCTCAAATTTCTCCAATCCTTTTACTGATTACTTCAAAATCCCTCTGCCATGTTCAATCAAGAACATGCAATGCTTATTTTGCATATGTCCTTTACCCAATTCAAAGTCCCCTTCCTCTCATACTCTCCCAGTCTGTCTGTTTATTCCTAGACACAGTCAGCTCCACCAGGAAGACGTCTATGATTAATTTTATACCTTCATATGATCACTGCATTTTGCTGACATCTCTTCTCAGGACCCTTTATGGTCTTTGTTTCTTTTACTATGGCCTAAGCATATTCTTCAGTGTTCTATCTCCAGTCTGCATTTCTACTTAATCTATATTCTGCCAGGATGCAGTCTTCTATTCTCTAGTCCCTTCACTCTTTGTAACGATGGCCACCATCAACCCTGCTCCAAATCTGTATCTCCTGGGTGACCTGTCTCCTGAACTTTTAACTAGTTTTCCTGCTAATAACAAGACCTGTCTCCTGAACTTTTAACTAGTTTTCCTGTCTCCTGAACTTTTAACTAGTTTTCCTGCTAATAACAAGACTCCTGCAGAAAAACCGACAGAACTCCAAGGTCGATAGGTCCAGAAAAGAATTCATTTCCTTCCTTTACCAAATTCTTCCTCCAATCTTCTCTTCTTAATAAATTACATTATGATGCACCCAAATACCAGAAACGGGAACCTCGGAATCTCTCTTGCCTAGGTGTGTCTCTTCTCTCTCCATTGCACTAACTAAGCCTAAGCCCATTCTATTGAGTTATCTGGTCCCCTTGCCTCCAGTCTGGTTTTTCCTCTGGTCTAGCCTCATCTTTTATTTCCCTTTAAAGCACCACCCTGCTTCCAGGTCTCTGACAGCTTCCCATTGCCTGTCATGCAAACTCTGCAGTGTTACGTGGAACCCTCGCAACCAGCCGCAGCCTGTCTTTCCAGTCTCCGTTTTCCCTTTGCACATCTATCATTCTAGCCCTGCCAGTCCATCCGTCATTCACTAACGCGCTCCGTGTGTCTCTCTTTCGGGCTCCAGCGAGAAAAGCGAAATCACACCAGGTATTTTAACAGAGAGAATTTATTAAAGGGAATGGTTAAAACAGGTGTTTTCGAATTTAAAAATGAGAGTCCACGGAAGTAACTCCGAGATAGTAACTGTGTAAGCAGGAAGCAGCTATCACTCTTGGGCTGAGGGATTACAGGGAAGGGGATGGGGTTACTAGAAACAAAACTTTGGAGGAGAGACCTCACACACCGGGGGCCTGTACCTCTGAGGAAGGGTCATGCCTAGCTGCGGCTAGTGCCTCTGACATGCTGAGTGGGGGCCCCTGAGAACTGGGGCTCAAACCTCCAGAGAAGGAACGCTGCCAGGTTGGTGCAGGAACCTCCAAGGGTGATACGAAGCTGGTTCTGAAGAAGCCGAGCTCTGAAAAACCAAATGCAACTGTTGGGATGAAGAGCCTTTGCTGGGGCGGTACGGTTAGGAAGAGCCAGAAACGCAAAAGGAAATCTCTTCTTCTTTCTCCCTTTCTCTGCTCCCTGCTTTCTCTGGTGTCCCCCGGGGGTAGAAGCCAGGAGACAGCGTGCAGGGTTCTGGCCTCAACGTCAGAAGAAAGGGTGGACTTAGAGTTGAGAAACGATTGCTTAATAACCAGCACGAGGCTCTTCATGTCTCGTTGCCTTTACTCATTCGGTTTCTGCAGCCACAATGCTCTTCCTGCGGTCTGTCTGATGCATGCCTCTGCTCAAGTACGATCCCCTTACTATGATCTCCCCCCAAGTAATTATTTACACCAACATCTGAGTTCCTCTGGCTGTTTGCAAATACTTCCTTTATAGGCCTTTTTTTTTTTTATTGTATCATAATTATTTCTGTATATGTTCATTTGTTTGTCTGTTTTCTGCCAAACTGTGAGTTCCTGTAGGGCAGGTAGCTTTACAACCATAAAATCGAGCCCGGCACACAACAGATATGCCGGTTGAGTGGGATGGATAGAATGGATAAGAGCATTTTAATGAAATAAATATTAGGTCATTTCTTGTATATATTTTATCTTCCCAACCAGACTTGAACTCCATAAGAACAGAGATAATGCTTTATATTTGTTTTATTTCTTTGTATTACTTAGTACAGGTTTCCTATGCTGAAGAAGAGCACAAATGATCATTGTTAACCACCTAGTTTATTCATTAAGCACCACAATTTTGGTTCAAAGTGATACGAAGATGGAGCATAAGTTTATGAATAGGGGGCAAGATCTGCAGTTAGGTTTAGATGTGTTTGTGGCACATGATCCCATCAGAGTGTTCTGAGCATGTGGTCGAATTCTGTGTCTGTTGAAAGAATAGCATAACCAAGAGACCAGGTCTTGGAGGAATTCTACAGTAATGAAACATATTTTAGGGTTTTTTTTTTTCCTCTTTATCTCTTACAGAAAATATATTCTCCCAATCCGTGAGGTTACATCTGTTCCTTGTGTACTTATTAAATTTCTCACTATCATCAACATCAACCAGTAGATTATTTAAATGTAGGAAAAGTATTGAATTTTAACTTAATCACCAACTTTTTGAAAAAAAGAAAGCTCTGTTCAACAACTGATTTACATTCAGGTCCAAGAAGAAGCAAAAATAGCTTTTTTTTTTTTTTTAAGGGGAGTGATATTTAATTAACTATTGATTTCTTCTCAATTATTCAAGGCAAGCAATTATCGATATTGATGAAATAGATATTTCCCTACCTCCGGTGCCCAAATGAAAGGAAATATCCCATTCAGCAATCTGCTGCCTAGAACAAGAAATGCTGAGAATCTTTAACTTAAAATGGAAACAGTTATTTGGATCTGTTTATTCCATGTTGCCCCAATTAAACAGATATTTCCTGAAGTGTAAGCAAAACAAAATCCTGAAAACCCATGTATGCTTTCCAAATGAACAGCAACCAAAAAAAGTGGGGGGAGGCGGGGAGGGGCACTTGTCACTTTTGACCATGATCTAAATACTCTGCATTTGTAGACTTGGCCTCCTGACTACAGTTCTTGACATTTTTAACCAGTACTCATAAAATACTATAATTCGGGTCTAATGCTCATGGTTTCTTAACCACCCAATGAGAGATCGTTTATGTAATCATTAGCTATATCATTTATAGCTGGAACACCATGTCCTATATTGAGATTTTGAGCCTGAAGGATTTAATGGGCCTTAATCGTCACTTCTAACATTTATAAGTAGCAGGTGTGGGTACATTTGAAAATTAGACCAATACTTTCTACAACCGTATTAGAAGTCACCAAGGAATTGTTGTGGAAAGTGGTAAAACAGGGCTCTTTTTAGGCCACTTTGTTATTAATTCTGTGAGCATCCGCCACACCATTCTTTCTCAGCTCATTTGCACACAGAGCGTTAGCATGTTTGTATTTAAGAAGCTTCTTTTGAAAGAGACTGACTACTGGACCTGAGTAATGGACAAGGCAACATTCTCTATTGAATTATTACTTGGGAGATGGGTTTTTCTTTTTTAAATGCTTTGCACTTATAGTAACATCAAGAGCGCGCACGTGCGTGCGAGTGTGTGTGTGTGTGTGTGTGTGTGTGTGTGTTTAATTCGTGTGGTGCCCCTGGGGAAATTTGACCTCAGCATTTTAAAAACTGAAAAATGTTATAATTTATAAAAAGCTTCTTTTTCTGCTCTGCCCCCACTACCCCTCCCAGAGTGAGTCTACATACTAAGTGCTTAAGCAGCATATGTCGCTGGGAAGTGCTCTTGGCTCTTTTACTCCGTGTTGTTGTTTTAATTTCCCTGGGTTCTATTTAACATTCTGCTAAATCAGTGAAACCTTGATTATCTCAAAGAATAGGAAACACGGAATTAATGAGGATCACCAGAATTTGGGGGAAAAGAAGAAATTATTAGAGATGAAAGTTTCATGACAGGGACTCCGAATGAATTTTAGTCTCTGGAATTGCTTGTCTTGATTTATTCAAACGAATGATGTTAATTGATGGACAGAGTGAAATTTTGGTAATCAGGGTTTCACCATCGCATTTACTTCCCAAATTTACAAGAAAATAATAGTCCTAATAGGATGTCAGGGGGGAAAGCGACTGCTCTTCCTCACACTCCTCCATTGAAACAGCTTTCTCTCTTCCGCTCTGGCTGCCGCCTGCCTGGAGCATGCTGCCTGTCCCCATCCGATCCCCTTCATCCCCATACTTCCTGGGTGGCTCCCGTCTGCATGCATGCAGAGGCCAGAATCACCTGCAGGGAGGGTGTCGCGCACCTCTTAGAGGTCCTCGGTCATTTTAGCACTACTGCTTTGCATCGTAATTACCATCACCTGGCTTCAAAGCTCTGCATTCTTGTATCAGGCACTTGTCCTTTAAAAACCTAGGAGGTCCTCACAGGTCCCAGTTCCATGACGAGAAGCTACCGCCACACCAGGAGTATTATGTTACTTCGTATTCGATAGCCTAAAATGGACAATGATAATATCCCAGGCTGCAGCAAAAAAAAATCTATATGGAAAGAACTAATGCGATGGAAACAAAGGCAGCAAACTACATTTGTTTGGAAATTGGAGTCCCACGCTTAGTTTGCGGCAGGGAGGGGCGAGCGCGAGATCGATAGAGATTTTTTTTTAAGCTGAAAACATGATGTACCAGATGAACTTAAATTGATTCTGCTTCTCCTCCCCGTGCCCCGCTCCCCTCCCCCCTCGTTCTGCAGCGAACGTCTGCGACAACGAGCTCCTGCACTGCCAGAACGGAGGGACGTGTCACAACAACGTGCGCTGCCTGTGTCCGGCCGCCTACACGGGCATCCTGTGCGAGAAGCTTCGCTGCGAGGAGGCGGGCAGCTGCGGCTCCGACTCCGGCCAGGGGGCGTCCCTGCAGGGCCCCCGGGCGCTGCTGCTGCTGCTGCCGCCGCTGCTGCTGACCGCTCTGCTGGCGACAGCCAGCCCCCTGGGGTTCTAGGCGGCGGCCGCTGCCGCCAGACGGGCCTGTGGCGAGGGGAAGCAAACAGGACGCGAGCCTTTGCAGCTCACATAGGGAACGCGCCCTCCGACACCCCCACTCAAACAGTGTGCGATCGACGAAGGCCTGACTGAACTAAGCCATATTTATCAGCCGTGGACAGCACATCCGAGTCAAGACTGTTAATTTCTGACTCCAGAGGAGTTGGCAGCTGTTGATAATAGCACCGCAGATCACATCGCCAGCTGCAGAGCTTATCGCCTATTGGTAAGGCTGCGACAGCCCCCCAAACAGGAAAGACAAAAAGAAAGAAAGAAGAAGAAATCAACCAACCTAAAAACATTTGCTACTCTTATACGCAGTGGCTCCAGTACCAGTTGGCCCAGTACGTGGACCAACCAACTAGGAGGCTCTTTGCTGGCAGTGCTTTGTGGGTCTAAGGACATCTGTTCGAGCTGCCATATTGGCCTGCCTCAGTCCCCGAGTCCCTTCCGACCTGTGCTTTAGTGAACGTTGCTCTGTAACCCTTGTTGGTTGAAAGATTTCTTTGTCCGATGTTAGTGACGCACACGTGTAACAGCTCCCTCCAGAAGCTCAAGCCAGTCGTACCCCGCATATCCTAGCAGCGCTGAGTCATCCCAGCCAGTGCGAGCGCACGTCCACTGTCCAAGAGCAGCATAGGGAAAAAAGAAAGTGTATCTATCCTTTTGTATTCAAATGAAGTTATTTTTCTTGAAATACTGTAATATGTAGATTTTTTGTATTCTTGCCAATTTGTGTTACCAGACAATCTGTTCATGTATCTAATTCGAATCAGCAGAGACTGACATTTTACTTTGTCCTCTTTGGTTCTGTTTTGTTTCATTGTGCAGAGATCTCTCTGTAAGGGCAATGAGCGTGCTGGCATCAAAGAATATCAGTTTACATATATAACAAGTGTAATAAGATTCCACCAAAGGACATTCTAAGTGTTTTTCTTGTTGCTTTAACACTGGAAGATTTAAAGAATAAAAATTCCTGCCTAAATGATTTCAGGAATCTGTATTGCAATTTCTTACGATGAAAGGAGCAGCCACCGAGCAGTGTCACACTCACTTTACTGATTTCCATGTGGACGGAATACATTCAGCTGACGAATTTGGTACCCAGGAAGATGGAATGATGTTCAGTAGCTTGGACAACTTCTGCAAAATATGAGACTATTTCCACTTGGGAAAATTATATCAGAAAAAAAAAAAAAAAAAAAAAAAAAAAAAAAAAAAAAAAAAAAAAAAAAAAAAAAAAAAAAATCTAAGTGATTGCCAAGATTATGCCAAAGCCTGTTGGCAGAGTATTAAGAGACTTTTATTTTTAAGTCATGCTATTTTCACAGATTGATATGATCGTGTGACTAGGGATGCTGATCTATGTATCTTTCCAAATACAGTGTTTACATAGAGAATCACAAGAGGCAACCTGGGGAAACCAGGGAAGTCGCAGGGAAAATGAATGATGAGCAATTTGACTTTGAATATATTCAGACTAAGTGTTTAGAGGAAATATCAAACATACAGCAGCTAGTAGACATAACTGCTGTTCCTGAGAATAAAGTTTGTTTTAAGTACCGCCCAAGGTGTAATAAATTCTTGTTTCTGCCTTTTATTAGGCCAATTATCGTGCAAGGCAGCAAGGGGAGGAGGGCGGGGGAGAACCATTGCAAAGTTTCCAAGTGGCTGAAACAGTGCGTGTTCCATTCCCAGCACACCGCTGTCCTACAGGCTACAAATGTGTTAGCGGCAGCATCTCCTGGAATCAAAAACAATTATCAGCCCAAGCCAGAGTCTTAAGGACAATGAAGTCCTACATGACTTGGTAGAGCAATAACCGCTGACAGCGTCAGGTCGGAAGCTTTCTTCCAGTCTGAATTCTTCCCCGAGTCGCCACTCCTTGCTGAAACGGGGCGGGGGGCGGGAGGGGAGGGTGCGAAATGTCTCCTGATAAATAACCTGGCTAAAAACTAGATGAAGGAACAGCGTGTCTTATTGGTTTTGTTCCCAGAAAAGCCAATTCAAAGAAGGCAATAAAAGGTAAACAGGTAATGCCTGTGCTGCCTGCCACCCCACGTCTGAGTCGATTGAATGTTTGTTATTCAAACCAACAGTCTCTTTTGATGGAAGAAATAAGAAAAGATGGAAATAAATTACAGCTCTGGCTTAGTGCCAGAGTAGCCAAACAGAAATTGGAGATTTACATTGGAAGTATAAACAGCAAATTATGTTCCAGGCTCACCAAAGAATACACGTGAAAAATGCCAATAACATACAGAGTTTGAGATTACTTATAATGAGGTGGATTTCTAATAGTAAAATTGGAATTTAAGTTGTCTTATCGTTTATTAGCATAAACCAAAGGCAGACTGTGTTATTTCTAGCCACGAAGCACTTTACCATTATCCTCTCATGGCTTTGTCACAATGCTCAGGAATCGGACTGCACATTTCAATACCTGGGATTCCAAAAGTTAATTCTAAAATTTAATGAAGGCCTGATCTAAATCAGTTCATCTGCATTTTATCTTTACGAGGCTATAAGAATCTAAATTGATGAGGAATATCTTGCGTTCAGTGTATTTAGATATAGTTTGCTGAATTTCCTGAAGTGATGTGATCTTGCTTTTAATAAAAATTCACTTTTAGGTATATAATCAATGGAAATGAAATGTTCTTTTTAATCTGGATTCTCAGATCCCTCCGAAAGTGTGTTCTTTTGAAGAAACCCCAACTCAGTGAATTTCATCTGCTGCTTTCCAGCATTTTTGCAAAGCTGGTTTCATCTACAATATTATGTCTTAAGAAAGGACTGGGCTAAAAAGTGGATACTATGTTTTTCACATAGTTAAGGTTCTAATTCTTGCACGGTCTCTACTTGATTAACCTTTAAGGTGAGTTAATATAGTCTTGTATATGAGCTAGTCTATCGAGTTCATCACCAGTAAGCGTAAGACTTCAAAGAAATCTTTGTCCAATGGTCCAGCTCCATGGATAGTGCTGGTGTTTATAGGAAAGTGATTAGACTGCCCCACCGTGATGTGGAAGTGATTTATTTCCCACTCCGTTCACAGCCCAGGGGAGTAACCTCAGCCCCAGTAAAGAGGGGCCCTTGCCTAGAGAGACTCATTCCGATCCTCCTACCACTTTGTCTCAGCAGCCAGGAACCTAGATTCCCTACCCAGATGTTCTCTGCCCACTTTTAGAGAGTATGTCCACCTCTTCTGGGGATCCAAACACCTGAAGGCGGGCAGCATCGTGAGCGCACATCCCTGGGCGCAGGGGGTGGCAAAGGGTGAGCATGTGTGGGCAGATTAGTGACCTGAGCCTAGGAGGACACACTGGGGAATTCACAAGTGAGTGAGACTCTAGAGACCCCTTGCAGTGAAAACCAGAGCTCAGGGATGGGAAAAAAAAAAAAAGAGCTGAAGGTGGAGAGATAGACGAGGGCCGCCTCGGGGCCAGGCTTCAGTACAGAACTCTGAGCAGTCTAAGATTCTAAATCTGCACCTGGGTTTCCGATTGTCACGAAGGCGTTGGTGTCAAAGTAGCAGGATGGAACATTCTTTATTTAACACTATGTTAGCTTGATGTGTAACTTTTAAATGTTTAGACATATGGCCTATCGGCTTTCATTGGTACTTCTGTCCCGGTCCCTGCTTGATGACTCTCCCTGGACATGCCCTTGAGATGCCCTTGAGTCGCATCACTAAGGTGGCACAGATCACCCAGGTAACATAAGGAAAGGTCTTGTTGGAACGTAAGAACTCTGGGATGCATGGGGGTGGCTGTGAGGAAACCCTGAAATCAGATCTTTTGTCCCATCACCTTCATTCTCCATCAATAACCCAGTATCACTGGGATGGAAAGACCCTGTATTCGGACGTGGGTGCTCTGTGCTACACGGGAAGTGGGTCATTGCACTTCACCTGATATTAAATACTCAAAAAATACACGTTTAACAGTTTCTCTGCTCACAGAATTGGGGAGAATATCCTGGGAATTTGAACTACATGTTCTATATATTTACACAGAGGGCTCTGTGTTTATGAGGGTGCAATTTAAAGCTTTGGGTTCAGAAATCTGAACTAGAATTCCTTACCCACCATTCTTATTCTTAGTCGTTATTGCTAGGGATGGCAATGGGAGCCTCATCTTAGAACAATGTGAATAACCAGGCAAAACTCTAGGATTGCTTTTTTTTTTTTTTTTAAGAAAATCCAAATGGACAGCCTTAACAATATACAAGAATGAAAAATATAGATAAGGAACACTCCCAGAGTTTTGATCTAAATGTCTGATTGTAAACAACTCTTTACCTCAGAACTAGATCCTAATCAATTTTCTTAAGAAATATCAAATGTTGGTCAGGCACAAATATTGCAACGGTTCATGTAGAAGAACTTTTTATGTTCGACTATATTTTATCATTTTTTACACTAAAAGTAGTTTTTCCCTTTAGTTAGCTAAAACAGGTACCAAGAAATTCCCAACATAAACTGCACAGAAATATAATACGATGTCAGAAAGAATTAAGAATGCCGACTATCATATTTTGAATTTTCAGCAACAATCTTGGGAACAGAGAACTTCTACCCTTCACAACACCTGGCAAGGTGTGACTCACATATGGCCATCTTCGTTTTGTATCTGAAGATCAAATAACTAAGAAATAGACATATATCTTACATAAATCATTATTGCATTTAACTAGAAATGAGAAAATAACATCTGTGAAAAAAATATTAACATTGAAAAAAATGAAGTTATTCGAGATCTATTATGGCAGAAAAATTTTCCCCTAATACATTGTAGACTAGGTTCTGAAATAAGTCTACCAAGAAGACATACTGATTTTAGGGGATGTTGTTTAGATTTATATAATTGAGCATTTAACAAATGCTGAAATCTTCCCTCTGCCTTCTCCCATCACCCAAGAATTGTTAACTGATGGAGGAATTAAAATGTAGTAATATTAAAATGATGCTGTTTTTATTAACCTGAAATGATTGATACCTGATAGATTGGACCATTTTCCCGCAAGACCTAATTGTGTTAGCAGTCAAGACCGGCTGAAGCAAACTACAGAGAATTGGAAGTAAAAATAATACCCATTTTCTTAACCTAGTCCCATTTTTTCAGAGGCATCTCTTTAACTATTATTTAATTAGTGAACTATGAATTCTCTGGCGGGAGGGGAGAGGTGAGACTGACTGGAAGAAAGAAAAAATAATTACTACCCCTCCTACATCTGTCTGAATAGACTCAAATTCCTACGTGACAAGAATGTGTCAAGTCACGTCAGAGTCGTAGTGTACCACGGTGTGTATCCTCGAGCCTCCCTGCCCAGATGGCACCACATTATAGCTTTGCTCTTACAAGGGGCAGTCATTCTAATCTAATAAAAGAAGGGAAATGGCAGAAAAATCACACACCGGAAGTCCTGTTAAGAATAGGTGATTCTTTTTGCTCCCGGCAGGCTAGAACATAATGTCATTTTCGTTTGTTTGTATTTGCGCTCTGAAGGAGGGCCGATCCTGTGGGGGAATGGTTTTCCCTCTGCCAGTGTGAAGCACAGCAAGAAAACGTTTTCCAAGGAAACAGCATTTTGCTATTTACCAGTCATGCCTATACCCCATGAAGCCCTGAGTAATTGTTTTGGCTTTCGTGGTGTGATAAACACCTGAAGGCAAAGAGATTAGTGTCATCACTCTCCGTCTCCTTTTCTCTCCCTTTGGAGAAAAAAAAAAAAATAGGTCCAAATATAGGATGGCGATGTTTGCAAGAATCTTTCAGTCAGTTGATGCCTAATTATGAAGACCCCAGCTAAATATTTAGTTTATGAAATTAATAGTGTGACGAGTATTGGAGCTGTTTTATAACCACTTAAACTCGTGTTTACATCCTGTGTAATTACAATTCATAATTGGGAAGGCAGTCAGATCTTATGCATTCTGATCAATGGTTCTCATTCTGTCAGGCTCAGCACAACACGTTACTGTAAGTGACTCTTAAAAATGGGGCTTCCACACCTAGAGTTTGAACCAGGGGAGGGTACTGAGGGGTTCTGGCAGTGAAGCACTTTAAATGATGTGTACAATTTTGTATACATATGACTTTTTTTTTTTCTGGGCAGAGGATCTGTTATACGTTCTCTCTTTCTTTAAATGTACAAAAGGCCTAAAAATGTAAGGATGACTGC